CCAAATTTAGTACACTGTAGTACGAATTTCCAAAACTTCCTACTTAACCCAAACCTACACTCCACAGTGATCCTAATCCCAAGTTTCCGAATTCCAACGCTATCGGTTCACTCACAATCCAAATTGTACCAAATTTAGTACACAGTAGTATGAATTTCCAAAACCTCCAACTTACCCTAACCCTACAACCCCACAGTGACCCTAAATCCAAGTTTCATGATTACAACTCTATCGGTTCACTCACAATTCAAATTGTACCAAATTTAGTACACAGTAGTACGAATTTCCAAAACCTCCAACTTACCCTAACCCTACAACCCCACAGTGACCCTAAATCCAAGTTTCAGGATTACAAATCTATCGGTTCACTCACAATTCAATTTGTACCAAATTTAGTACACTGTAGTACGAATTTCCAAAACTTCCTACAGACCCCAATCCTACACCCCCACAGTGATCCTATATCCAAGTTTCAGGATTCCAACTCTATCGGTTCACCCTCAATTCAAATTGTACAAAATTTAGTACATAGTAGTACCAATTTCCAAAACTTCCTACATACCCCAATCCTACACCCTCACAGTGATCCTAAATCCGAGTTTCAGGATTCCAACTCTATCGGTTCACCCTCAATTCAAATTGTACCAAATTTAGTACACAGTAGTATGAATTTCCAAAACTTCCTACAGACCCCAATCCTACACCCCCACAGTGATCCTATATCCAAGTTTCAGGATTCCAACTCTATCGGTTCACTCACAATTCAAATTGTACAAAATTTAGTACGAATGTAGTACGAATTTCCAAAACTTCCTACATACCCCAATCCTACACCGCCACAGTGATCCTAACTCAAAGTTTCAGGATTCCAGCTCTATCGGTTCACCCACAATTCAAATTGTACCAAATTTAGTACATAGTAGTACCAATTTCCAAAACTTCCTAAATATCCCAATCCTACACCCCCACAGTGATCCTAAATCCAAGTTTCAGGATTCCAACTCTATCGGTTCAACTACAGTTCAAATTGTACGATATTAAGTACACAGTAGTACGAATTTCGAAAACTTCTTACATACCCCAAACAGAGATGCTAAATACAACTTTCAGGATTACAACTCTTTCGGTTCACTCACAATTCAAATTGTACCAAATTTAGTACACAGTAGTACGAATTTCCAAAACGTCCCACTTAACCCAAAATTTCACCCCCAGAGTGATCCTAAATCCATGATTTAAGATTCCAACTCTATCGGTTCACCCACAATTCAAATTGTACCAAATTTAGTACACATTAGTAAAAAAATTTAAAACTTCCTACATATCTCGATCTTACACCCCAACAGTGATCCTGACTCCAAATTTCATGATTCTAGCTCTACTGGTTCGCTTAAAATTCAAATTGTACCAAATTTAGTACCATTTAGTACCCATGAATATAAATTACTGAAACTGGGTAAAAAAATTCCAAAACTACGTACATTCCCAATCCTATACTCCGACGGTAATGTTAATTTCAAATTTCAGGATTCCAGCTCGATTTGTATCTCCAAATTAAATTTGTACCAAATATAGTATCATATAGTACTTTTCGTACACATGAGTACACGCTTTCAAAACCATCTCCTTAAATGGACTCTACATCTCATCCCTAATTCGCATTCCAAATTTCAAGTTTTTAGCTCTATCAATTCACATGCTACGAAATTGTACAAAATTAAGTACATTTTAGTACTTTTCGGATATTTATAGTTCGAATTTCCAAAAACCCGTACATCTATCCTACACTCAGCGACCACCAATCCAAATTTCAGAGTTCTAGCTCTACCGGTTCGCCAAATACAAATGGTATCACATTTAGTACTTTTCGTACCGTTCTAGTACGAATTTCCAAAAACGCTTTTGTACATCTTCCTAACTTTACATCAGTGACCCACATTCCAAATTTCAGAATTCTAGCTCTTCCCGTTCGCCTAATACAAAGGGTACCATATTTGGTACATTTTAGTACTTTTCGTACCCTTCTAGTTCGAATTTCCAAAAACCCAGCCTTATCTCACGCCTACACACCAACACCAACCCACACTCAAAATTTCAAGCTTCTAGCTTTAGCCGTTTCGTCTGGGCGATGATCTGTCAGTCACTCACTCACTCAATCACTTAACACTAAGCTCTTTTATATATATAGATTAAAACAATGAATATTCCACAACACAATTCAGATTGGAGATCTCGGAATTTTCGGGCTGATGTGCTGAGTATTACATACTGAATTACATTGTGTAAAAACATAATCACCCCTATTCCGTATGTCGTTGTCGACATCTATCGATAACCATTGAAACATTTTTGGTATTCCGTAACAAAGTGTGACGATGTCGAAGATTTCTTCGTCATAAGTATACATCATTCTAGAATCTATTCAATACGTAATGCAAAATTAAGTTTAAATAAACAAAGAAAAATATATGAGATCCATATATAAATCTGAACCGATTTTGACCAATATCAATAGGACTCGTCTATGCGTCAATGCCCAAATGCAAAAAAAAAAGGTGATTTGTTGTCCAGAATATGTGTTAAGTGAAGAGCGAACAAACTGATCCAGATTTTTATACACATAAAAATCGCCTCATTAATGCTCACTTTGACAGTTCACTGTGTAGGACAATGTTATTAGGTTTCTAATAATCCAACGAAAATATATGGTGATCCAAGGTTTATTCATAAGGTTAACCTGCAGGCGAATTCGTGCCTTAGTCTTCTCTTGCTGTCAACTTTGTAATCACGAAATACAAGACAGAAAAGGATAAAACCATGGTATAATAATTACAATTTCTCAAGGTGGCTTGTTCCATCAAATCAAAATACATATTTTGTGTATGTGTGTGTATTGTTTTGAATACAATGTCAAACAAATTCAAAATAAATTGAAATATATTCAAGTTTAATTGAAATGAAAATGATGTTCATAACACGTTCGTCTGGAAGTAATTACTTTGTTATGGATGAAACAAACATTTGATGGTAATCCCTACTGGATTTTGAGAAGAAATGATAACCTTTCATTTATTTTCGAGTTTTTAGTTTTGTGTTGAAAAAATGTCAAATAAACACAAACACTTGTGTTTTTTGGCAGAAGAGGCCACACGTGCATAGTTGTTTTTTTTTTATTCACCTCAAGCTGCCCTACCTTGTATTATTGTACCATGGATAAAACTATTTTTTGTTTTTTTATTCTTCATACCAAGGTTTATTCATAAGGTTAACTGGCAGGCGAATTCATGTCTTAGTCTTCTCTTGTTGTCAATATTTTAATCGCGAAATTCCAAATACAGGATAATAATTCAAAATATCTTTCAGGAAAACGTAATGATATTTTGAATTATTCGCCCATGTAACATGTTCCGAGAGTTTTTGAATTCCCATACTTTTTTTAAATTCCCATGTTGTGCAAAATGGTGTGCTCCTGTTCTGTTCTGATTGGTATTTCGCGAATTCGTAGTCTTTGACTTTCAAATTTATTATTTGAAGAATAAATAAACAACAAATATTTTTATTCCAATCAAAATATAATATATTTTGATTGGAATAATTATTTATTCTTCAAATAATCAATTATATTTTGATTGGAATAAAAATATTTGTTGTTTATTTATTCTTCAAATAATAAATTTTACAGTCAACGAAGACTACGAATTCGCCTCCCTGTTAACCTTAAGGGTCCCATACACTATACATCATGCCGTACAGCATTTATCATAGTATGTGTTATTTTTTGAAAGTTTATTTATGTATGTGTGACACACACAATGCATAATGGTACAATTATAAAAGGTAACAGCAAGTCCCAGCTGGTTTGATTCCAACGTAATACTAGTGTCAATATAAATTTGACAAATTATGTTTTTAAAAATCACCCAACAGGAAAATTGGGAACGAATACGAAATTGTTCTTTATTAAATGTGCTCCCGTATTCATTTTACTCAATCTTCCTGTTGGGAAAGTTTGTCTTTCTTCATTGAATAACTTGCAATGCACACACATATAAGTGGCAATAGTTCAATTATAGGAAAGATGTGGAAGCGATAGAAATATAAATTTGATAGATTTTCATTCATGTGCAAATTTTATTTTTAGGATTCGAAAATATTTTATTTTCAAAAAAAATATATTTTATTTGTTTGTTTACATTTTTCTGTCAAATGGCGTTGACACTAGTATAACTTACAAAAACAAATTTCCATGTGGTTGTTGTATCGTTTGTTGTACAACAACACTTGCTGTTACCTTCTATTATTATACCATGACAATGCATGAAGAAAATCAAAATAGTTTTGATTTTGAAAATGAAACCCTTTCAATCTGGTGAATTTTATTCATTTTCAAAGTTGACAGTAAATAATTTTGAGTGTACAAATAATAAAATTGTGACGAAATAAAAAAGAACTGAATTTACGATTCAAAATGTGATTTTTTTGGACAAAAATCAATTTTTTGGAATAGTGATTGAAGAGTTTGCCATACACTAGTCAATCTCACATATACAAAAAGGGGTTCATCGGCATGACGGCATGATGTATAGTGTATGGGGCCCTTTAAGTTGAAGCCGTTGAAACGAAGCCTATTACATGGAATTCTTCACTATGCTCGAAACATATTCCTTCGCTTTAGAAATTAAATTTTCATTAGACTGAAATTAACAAAGATGAAGGCATATTTATTAGCGATTGTTTGAAATGTAATAATATACTTATAACTATATTTAATACATACTTGCTTTTAAACGACTTGTATTTATCAATATACAGGGCAAATGGTAGAACTCAAGAATCAACAAGTGTTTATGCCGATACATATTTTAGGTATATTGATTATCAAGATTGAAATTTTGGTATGAGATAGATACTAAAAATGACTAAGAGACGGAATCGTGATCGTCTTTATGTAATAGAGATGATTATTGAAACGAACTGCAGTTTGGCGGTTAATTTGTCCCCAGAAACACATCGCAATTGTTATTTCAATTTGGGCAATCAGTCGAGGTCGTTAGAACTAACACCTGTGTAAACTGGCTCCTTGTCTGCGTCTGTTTTTTTGGCTGCATCTTCTGTTTTTTCAGGTGACTCTTTTGCCTTTTCTGAATCATCTTTCGCATCAGCGGCATTTGGCACCCATAGACCAGAATCTACGCATCGTTTCATGTGATATGTGGCTTCTTCTACGGGCATGGCTGCTATAGTCTTTTGTAAGAGCTCTGTATCTCGACTTTCGAAACAAGCTTTTAGTTCCTATAGATCATATATATTTAAATTAGCAAATTTATTTGTGAATCAAGCACTATTATCTTACATCGGGTAGAGTTTCGAAGACCTCAAGTGGATCTAGACCACCAGGACCCAGTCTAGCTTTACGTTCTTCCTCCTCTGCTTCAGCCATGGCTTCCTTTATTTTTTCTTGTGCCCTCTTCCGAATGCGTTCTTTAAATGCCTCAATTTCACTTTCAAATTGCTGGCGATACTCAGGCATACAGTTCTGTATTTTGGAGAAAAACGATCCGATGCAAGCTCTTGGATCCACATCCAACTGTTTTGCCAACTCCAACATATACTGCATGCATATGCACTGATGGGCCACATGAGCCATTAGTTCGTGCTTTTCTTCCATTTCCAAGTTAATGGACCATATGACTAAGTAGTTGGCCGTCTCCTCGCAAACCAAGTGTGGATGTTCCGACAAGAAACGCTTAGAATCGTCGTACTTTCTCATCATACCAAACTGTTTGCACAATTTCTCATTTTCTTTGACAAAGTTTTTCATTTTGGCCTCGCGTTCCTCTTCGGTTAGATTCTCGTCCTGTTTGCGTGACGCCTGTTTATTTAACACCGTCTTCTCAAAGCCCGGCTTACTTATTGTGTCGACATTCCAGGGCATCTTCTTCTCCTTCTTAACGAGCTCCTCTTCCCTGCGATCCAGATCCTTTCCCTCTTTTTCTAATTTTTCCAGTTCTGCTTTGAGTTCTTCTTCAGAGCCTTCTTTTTTCTTCATTCGCTCCTTACAATCCACCATGCGCGCCTGCCATGATTGTTTAGCTTTCTTGAATTCATCCTTCTCCAACTCCAACTCGGCCATACGCTCGACGCGAGCCTGATGACGCCAGCGGAATAGTGAGGGAGTATCGATGTTTGGATGGGTATCATCTTCATCATCCGAAATCTACAAGTAAACACATTAAAATGAAATGCTGCACCACCACCCATTGCAAGTAGAAACAAAGCATCTTGCACATACCTCAATATTCTTCCATTTACTGTAATCCACCATTTTCTACTTTTCTTTTTTCGTCAAAATATTGCAAAAAACGGTTGAAGTGACGATTTATAGTTTAGTGACTATCGAAAATTTCGCACTGACAGTAATACACAGAAATCAAATAATTTTTTCCGGCTTTGCTTCGTTTGTTGCTAGAATTTACTGGAAGTTCATAGAGTTGTGTCATTCCGAAATGAACTAGTTGAGAGGAACGACTACGTGAAATGAACGAACGGAACCATTTGCAACCCCATCAATTTATCTAGTACCTTCTGTTCACCTGGTTCACTTGGCACAGTCGAACTTATTTCAATGATTTGTTTTGTTCTAAATGTTCTATTGCGGACTCATTTACACCTAAAGTGTTTTATGATAAATCATCATTCAATCGTTGTCATTTCCATTGTGTATACAGTGGCGCGCAGAACCGACACATTTTCGTCATAAAAATAATATTAAAAAAGTAAATTGACATTTTTTGAAGTAAGTATCTAGTAATTATATAGATTATGCAAAAATTAAAATAACAACCATGGCATAATTATGGAAGATAGTCTGATTTGAAAAATTAATAATGGCAACCCTTTTTGATTTGTAGCTTATACATCAATTTCAAATGTAATAAAATATAAATTGCATACAATTTTATATATGTATGTCGATTGACATATTTTTTACAAATTAAAATTTAATAAACTCGTATGCACTCACCTTAGCCTGCATTTTAATAATATGAAGAACAGAAGAAAAAAAGTTCACTTTTGTTAATTTATTACTTCTATTTTAAATAAGCATGTGTTTTTTATTTATTTTATTCATAACTAGCAGACCCGGCAAACGTTTTTTTGCCGTATCAGAATTGCATCAATTTAGGTTTGGTAAAAATTAACGAATTCATGAAAAATATATTTCAGAAACTATTTACCATTTGATTTATGTCAAATTTCCGATATAAAAAATACGCATAATATTTTCCTTGCGACGGTAAACCTTCATTTGCTGATACCAAATATTCTAAGAAATATTGTTATTGTTAAATGTGTGGTGTTTCAGTATATCAATTTGTCGGACCCATTCCACCAAACATTTTTCAGGAGGTCAAGATTTGATCTAACTACTCTTACCTCCAGAGATAATTTAGTACGGATGGCGTAATTACTATTCCTATTTTGATCACAATGAAATCATCAAAATTGGTGCAGAATTTTCTTCGATTAAAAAAACTCTTTCCACTGTAATTAAAAACAAACGTAGGAAAATGTGAGTCAAATTGGTGCAGTCGTTCTCAGTGAAAATATATTTGAGGAACAATAAAGGCACATATAAGTTAGACACCTAGAGCATCTAATGCGCAATTATAGAAAAATTGGCTCGCCATTATTGTGCGTTTTTAAGCCTCCTCATCTTTGGTCCAATTTTTAGCATAGTCTGATTTTAGGTACTTTGAAAGTTGTAACAATGTAGGGTAATGAACTCCTCTGTAAATTGTCAGTATAGTGTCACTTTATGGTATATGTCCCACATAATGGTTGGCAAATCAGTCCTGCCGCTCCTTCAAAATATGTTTTTCAAGATTTTCGCGTATTTTTCTCAAAAATTTCTTTCATAAAATCCTTCCCACTTCAATTAAAGATAACTGAAAGAAATGTTTAGTCAAATCGGTCCCTCCGTTCTAAAATTGATGAGTTACTATAAGTAGATTTAAAGTAATTTTACTTCAATTTGATAAGTCGTTTCGATTGACTCCCACGCGCTATTCACGAAAACAGGTTATGTATGAATTGGTGTCGGAATACTTAACGTAGATTAAGCACCCAATCTCTAATCGGGCAAAACGCAAATATACTATATAGAGTGCCATCTGTCGGACGGCCTTAAATTAAAACAGAAACACTCCCTCCCCATAGATCATATACATAAAGTTTGGTCAAAATCGATGTAGTAGTTTTTGAGTTTAGCGATCACGAACATACAACTAATTTTTGTATATATAGAAATAGAGATACAAAAACCTTCTTGACCTATTTAATGTATTAATTATTAAAAACCTGATAGTTTATAATCAATTAATCCAGCTTAATTTATATTAACTGTAATATTATTATTAAACAGATGTCCATTAGCAAAGAGTTCTATTTTGACTGTTAAAAAATGGAGTGTCTCAAGGCTCGATTTTGGGCCCACTTCTCTTTGTTGTTTTTATTAATGATTTGTTTCTAGATCTAGGTATTTGGTGCTGGCCTTTCAATAACACTGTGCGACACGAACATTTTTCAGGGGTTCTAATGTACCAATTTTGTTTAGTTGGAGTCCCTGGACCACGAAAATACCTTTGATTTTTCTGGGTCACTTCGAAAATTAATTTTATAACGGTAAATATAGAGAAAAACGTGGTTTCATGGATTTTCCATTTGAAACTTGAATAACTTTTTTACTTTATAACGGATTTATATTATTCTTTTTTTCTTTCGAAGGGTACAATTTTAATTTTAATTTCATCGTACAGTCCGAAGAAAAACAAATTTTGTCATTTTATGCGTATTTTTTCACATTTCCACCGCTGAAACTCAGCCAATCCTCAACCGATTTGCCTTGTTTGAAAGGAAAAATTGTATTCTTTGAAAGAAAAAAAGAATAATATAAATCCGTTATAAAGTAAATAAGTTATTCAAGTTTCAAATGGAAAATCCATGAAACCACGTTTTTCTCTATATTTACCGTTATAAAATTAATTTTCGAAGTGACCCAGAAAAACCAAAGGTATTTTCGTGATCCAGGGACTCCAACTAAACAGAATTGGTACATTAGAATCCATGGTATAATAATAGAAGGTAACAGCAAGTGTTGTTGTACAAAAAACGATACAACAACCACATGGAAATTTGTTGTTGTAAGTTCTACTAGTGTCAACTCATTTGACAGAAAAATGTAAACAAACAAACAAATAATCATCAAATTATTTTTATTTTGAAAATGAAATATTTTCGAATCCTCAAAATAAAAATTGAAAAACATGAATGAAAATCTATCAAATTTATATTTCTATCGCTTCCACATCTTTCCTATAATTGAGCCATTGCCATATATATGTGTAACACATATGAAAATGCAGGGAATAGCGAGTTGTTCCTTGAAGAAAGATTTGCTTCCTCAAACTTTCCCAGCAGGCAGATTGAGTAAGTTGAATACGGGAGCACATTTAATAAAGAACAATTACAAATTGTATGCGTTCCCAATTTTCCTGTTGGGTGATTTTTAAAAACATAATTTGTCAAATTCATATTGACACTAGTATTACGTTGGAATCAAATCAGCTGGGACTTGCTGTTACCTTTTATAATTGTACCATGATTAGAATCCCTGAAAATTTTTTTTTTTGTTATTTTGTAGCACAATGTAATTTATATATTGCTTTTGTTTCTGAGTTGTTGTGTTTGAGGGTTTTACTTGATGACAAACTTAATTTCTGCCACCATATTAATATGGTGGTATCTCACCTAAAATCATCTCTTCGTAGTCTTTATGTAACGGATATGGCTTTGCCACTTCATGTTAGAAAACGTTTGGCTCATGTTTTGGTGTTACCTAAGTTCCTGTACTGCTTAGAAGTTTCTTCCGGGACTACTTCCAACAATCTTTATTTGATACAGTTAGCAGTCAACATTCGATATGTATATTAGTTATGCCATGTACAGACGAGCGTTGTTCGCTCTCCCATTCGTCGTTCGACCCTGAATTATGAAGTAATTACTTAGTTCCCCATACAAATTTTTCTGAGCGAACACCGACTTTTGTACATTGTTCAATTCGAATCACTCTCTGAATAACCAAGAAATTTCTCCCATCCCTAACAATTGAGAGCATTTAACGAAAATAAATTAATGTTGACAGCTTTTTAGCATTACCCCGGGTACATGCTCTAAAAAACGTCTTCTTACACATTTCGATTAATTTATTTTTAGAATCATCGATAATACCTTACATGCATTATAATGTTTGAGCGCAGAGCTTTTTTCTAATTTTTTCATATCAGTGATAAAACATTTGCATTTTTTGATATCATCTATTAATTTTTTATATCTTATTAAGCAACTATAACTTTGTTAATTATTTTGGACATTTCTCAATGTCCATGTTTTTAGAGTAGTGCCATATATCAACGATTTCGCATAATATATTCATAATAATTGGCCAAATAAGGCTTTGTGTACATGTAAGGGTTTAAATAAAATAAATACCCATTTGTGGGTATTTATTATATTGAATCGGTAATACAGCATCTTACATCCTATTTCCGGTTTTCTGTTATCAAATCGATTTAGAATAGATAATTTTTCGATACTTTAAAGACGTGGATGAGTTACTATAGGTTAGGTTTAGGTTAGGTTTGGGGATGTGCAGTCACATGTGTGACTGCAACACTCTGAGACCGGTTAGGTCCGTTGTGATCATCCACAAGAAAAGATACAGTGAAGAGAAGAGATCAAGAAGACAGACCTGTAGGGGAGAGAAGAGTAGTAGATTAATGGGGTGAAGAATGAGTGAAAGGTCGATGGTCCTATGAGTCAGACAGAAAAAAGCATTACGTGCCAATGTTATGAGTTACTATAATTTGTAACTGAAAATATTTCCGATAATTTGATCACAAATTTAAATTCCAGGCGGTTGCCTGGAATTTTTAATACTTTATTTGAAGATATGTTGCGCACTCTTACAAAATTTTGCCATCAAATGATTCCCAATATAAAGCAAAAAGAGTAGAACACACACGGTAGAGTACCGTTACCTTCATACATACCATAATAAAAAAGCAACAGATGCGTTTTTGACACTGGTAAAATATCACTATTGGACACGTTTTTCAAACAAATCGGTTGTAATTTGGTATTTTGGGTTCTCATTGTATATCACACATATTTGTATACAAAATTACTAATATTGACCCAAGTTTCAGGGTAGCCACCATATAATGGTACCCTCAAAAATCTGTATTTTGGATACGTTTTTCAACCGAAATGACGTTGATTTGGT